CCCAAGTCAAGTTCTATCCCCGGTACCAAAAAAAACTTTATTATAGAGCATTTCAACCCCTTTATGACACCAAAACCAAAAATGATCTAAGTAAACTTTTATACTTAATAATATGTGGATAAGTATATAACTGGACAAGATGCAGGGTATGGTGACATCTGTAATTCCAGCACTCAGGAGGGAGAGGCTGGAAGATCAACACTAAGTAAATAGTGAGTGCAACGCCAGCCTGAGCTACAAAGCAAGATCTTTTCTCAAAACAATTTTAGAAAAAAATCAATGAAATCAAAAGTTACCTCACTTCAAAAAGTCAACAAACTTGATTCCTAACAATCTAGACTAAGCAAGGAAAAAATGAGGTAAAAATGATCAAAATCTAGAATGAGAAAGAGTCCTCACTCCAGACCTTTAAGAAGCTAAAATAATTGTAGCACAACCTTTTGTCAATACATTAAACCAGTTAAATTGGTGTTTTGTAGAAAGACATAAATTACAAAACCTGACTCAAAAATAGACTATCCAAGTAGAACTTAATCAATTAGAGAGATTAAACTATGAAAATTATTTCCCCAAAGAAAATCCCAGGCACCTATATGGCTTCATGATTAATTCTATCAAACATAAACAAACATAGTACAAATAAGAAGCTCTTTCAACTCATTAGAAGGCCAACATTACCCTGTTATCAAAACTAGACAAAATCATCACAAGAAATGAAGACTTCAGATCAGTATCTTCCACGAAAATGAATGTGAAAATTCTTAACAAGATTGGACAAACCATATCCAGGAACACACAAATACAAAAAAAGATTATACTCCATTTCCAAAGAAGTTTAATCTGAGAACATAAGGTTGATTTGACCTTAGAAAATTATTTGGTATAAGGAACTAGAGGGATAAATTCAAGTTCAGAACTCATATAATTATCTTAAAATATATACAAAATGTATTTGACAGAATCTGACCCCCATTCATGATATAAATGTTGAACAAATAATAGAAGTGAACTTCTTCAGTTTCATAAGCCCATCAACAGAGAACCTACAGTTGATATACTTAATAATAAAGGACTGAATACTCTTTTCCCCTCACCCAAGGTTATGGAAGAAGTCAAGAATGTTGGCTCTCACCACTTGTATACATTATTGTGTTCATTCTAGCAAGAAAAAGGGGCAAAAATGTATCCATACCAGAAAGGGAGGAGAAATATTTTCCTTATTCTCAAATGATATAATTTTATAGGCAAAATATCCCTTGGAATCTACCAAAAACAGGCAACTAGATCATATTTGAATGTAGCAAAGTCACAGTAGAATAGGATAAAAAATAAATTGTGTACCTGTATCCTAGGAATGGACATTCCAAAACTAAAATTGTTTCAGGCATACAATCTCAAATACACATACACACAGAGAGGAATACATTAACAAAAGAACTGTAAAACCTGTACACAGGAAATGATAAAAACAGTGCTGAAAGAAATTAAAGAGAACCTCAATAAAGGGGGGGCTGTACCATATTATGGTTTGGAAAATACAGTATTATTAGGATACCAGTTCTTTTGAAATTATAGCTTCAGTACAAAAGTCAAAATCTCTACAAGTTTTTGTGTAGAGATTAATGAAACAATTATAAAATTGATGTGATTATCTGAAATAACAGAAGAAAAATTTTGAAAAAGAGCAAAAGTTGGAATACTTAACTTAATTTCAAAACTACACGTACACCTTGGCAGTATCACAGGTTTGTTTCCAGACTATTACAATAAAGTGAGTCTCACAAAATTTTTGGTTTCTCGGTGCATATAAAGGAAGGCTAGGTTTACACTAGTCTATTGTAAGTGTATAGCAGATCACCTCTTCAAAATCACCAAAGTACATAACTTAATGTTTTTTTGCTTATCCATAAGAGCAACTTGTCATCCAGTTTTGTAAGATTCTAGCAATTCATTCACATTCTAAGGCTTCCCTTCTAATTCTACTACTTTTGCTATTTCTACCACATCTACAGTTACTTTGTTCAGAGAAGTCTTGAGTCCTCAAAATCATCCATGAGTATTAGTTTTATCATAAGATTGTTTTTTTCTCAAAAGATTATGGGAATTTATCCACATTTTCAGGCTGTACTTGTAATTCTAGTTCTCTCGCTGTTTCTGCCACATGTGCAATTACTTTGAGGAAATCTAGAACCCTCAAAATCATCCATGTGTGTTAGAATCAACTTCTTCCAAACTCCTTTTTTAAAAAAATTAATTTTATTGGTACTCTTTTGATATTCATAATGATCACATTCATCATAGGGAATTTGTACCTGTACACAATATATCTCAATTCTTCTTTTTTCCCATTCCCCTCCCTCTTAAATCCTGGTTCTCTCCTTATTTACAAAAGCTTTGTTTCCATGTTTTTCCCTTCCATTCTCTTTTTTTCCTTTTTCCTTCCTTCCTTTCTCATGTGAACATTTTCTTCCTACTTCCCAATATCTGTCATCCATTTTGGTCTTTATTTGCATTTTTGGTTTCTCACACAAGAGAAACAATGTGATGTTTAAACATACGTGTACAATTTATGTCACTTTAAAGTATGGTCTCAATGTGTATTCGTTTGCCTAAAACTGTCTCAAGTTTATCCTTCTTTATGGCAGAGTGGTACTCCGTTGCATATAAGAACCACACTTTCTTTACTCATTCATCTGTTGATAGACATCTTTCCAAGATTTAGCTGTTACAAATTGTGCTGTGTGTGGTGCTTTGAACTCTTTGGGGAAGATACCAAGAAGGGGAACAGCTGGGTCAAATAGAGCCTCTTGTTTTAGTTTTTTGAGGAATCTCCATACTGCTTTCCATAGTGGTTTACCAGTTTATACTCCCACCAACAGGGGAGAAGTGTTTCTTTTTCCCCACAGCCTCACCAGCATTTGTTATTGGTTGATTTCTTGATGATAGCCATTCTTTCTGGAGTGAGATGGAATCTCAGTGTTGTTTTAATTTGGATTTCTTGAATGACCAGTGATGTTGAATATTATTTTATATATTTCTTTGCTATTTGTACTTCTTTATCTGAGAAATGTCTGTTCATTTCAGATGCCCATTTTCGAATTGGGTGTTTAAATTTGGGGTGTCTGATTTTTTTGAGTTCTTTATATATTCTATTGTATATTCTTTATGTATTAGTCCTTTGTCTAAGGAATAGCTGGTGAAATTTTTTCCCATTCTGTGGATTTCGCTTCACTCTTTTGCTTTGCAAAAGCTTTTTGATATGATATCCTGGTTGTTGATTCTTTGTAATATTTCTTGTGGCATTGGAGTTTTGTTCATAAAGTCTTTGCCTATAACCATCTCTTCAAGAGTTGTACATAGTCTATCTTCCAGCAGATTAAGTGTTTCTGTTTTAATATTTAGATCTTTGATCTATTTCAATTTTAATTTAGTGCATGGTGAGAGATACGGGTTTGGGTTTAATTTTTGGTGTGTGGAAAGCCAGTTTTCTCAGCACCATTGATTAAAGAGGCTCTTTCTTCAGTGAAGGTGTTTTGTCCCTTTTCAAAGGTAAGGTGGCTACGTGTGTTTGTTGTTTCTGCATCTTCTAATCTGTTGCATTGATCCTCAGATCTGTTTTTTTTTGTTTTGTTCTGTTTGGTTTGGTTTGGTTTTTTTCTGCCAGTAAAATGGTGTTTTTATCACAGTAGCTCTGTAGTATAATTTCAAGTCAAGGATTGTGATGCCCCCTGCCTTTGTCTCTGTTGTCCAGAATTGCTTTTGTTCTTCTAGGTCTCCTCTGGTTGCTAATGAATTGTAGGATTGTTTTCTCTAGTTCTGTGAGGTATGCTTTTGATATTTTGATTGGAATTACATTGAATCTATATAACAGTTTTGGAAGTATGACCATTTTCACTATATTGGTTCTGCCTATCAAGAATAAGGGATATCTTTCCATTTTCTGATATCCTCTGTGATCTTTTTTAGAGTATTATAGTTTTCAATGTAAAGGTCTTTTACTTCCTCCATCAGGTTGGTAGGTAAGTCTTTCATTATTCTTGATGCTGTTGTGAAAGGTGTTGTTTCCCTAATTTCCCTTTCAGTGAGTTTGTTATTAATATACAAGAATTCTATTGATTTTTGAGTATTGACTTTGTATCCCGCTATGCTACTGAATTTGATTATTAAATCTAGGTGTTTTTGGTGTCTTTTATGTAGAGTATCGTGTCATCTGAAATAATGATAATTAAACTTCTTTCTTTCCTGTCCTTATTCTTTTCATTTCTTTCTCTTGTATAATTGCTCTGGCTAGTGTTTCTAGAACTACATTGAACAGGAGTGGTGATAGTGGACATCCTAGTCTTGTTCCTGATTTTAGAGTGAAAGCTTTCAGTTCTTGACCATTTAGTACAATGTTGGTTTGTCATAAATGGCTTTTATCAGATTGTGATAAAGACCTTCTATTCCATTATCTGTAGGGTTTTTATTATGAATAAGTGTTGAACTTTGTCAAATGCTTTTCCTTTGTCATTGAGATGATGATGTGGTTTTTGTCTTGTATTACTTTTATTGATTTGCATATGTGAAATCCTTTTAATGTTGTTTTTTGACCTCCTCTCATGAATCCCAAATGTTCTTAATGACATATAGAACTGTTAATCCTTTTCTGAAGGTTTTAAATGTACTTTTCCCAGGTCTATCAGGAATCCCCATCTATGGAAGCCTCATTAACTGTTTCTTTTTTTTTTCATATATTTATTGGTACATTTTAGGTATACAATACATTTACATTTATCATTGGGTGCTTGTACCTGAACCTGATGTATCTTAGTTCTTATTTTTTCCCCCATTACCTGTTACCATTAACTGTTTCTTAAACAATAAGACTTAAAAGTTGAAATTACTCTTTTTTGCATGGACTGCAGAATAGATGTTATGTAGGCAGCATAAAAACAACATTCATTTTGCATCACCATCAGAATTCTTGGGTGATCAAGTGGGTTGAGAGTGAGCAGTAATATTTTAAAAGAAATCTTTTTTTATGAGTCAGAGATCTGAACGTGGCTTAAAATCTTCATTAAACCATGTTGTAAACGGATGTACTATAATGCAGACTTTGTCGTTCTAGTTACAAATCATGAGCAGACTACATTTAGTATAATTCTTAAAGACCATTGGATTTTCAGATTGATAAATGAGCATTGGCTTCGACTTACATAGTTGCATTCAGTCTCTAACAGAAGTCAGCCTGTCTTTGAATTCAGTCACTGACTTCCCTACTTCCAGTTCTAGATGGCACCTTCTTACAGTATAAGATGATTTCATTTATATTAGAAATCTGTTGCTTAGTGTAGTCACATTGACCAATTATCCTAGCTAGATTTTCTGGATAATTTGTTGCAGCTTCTATACCTGTACATGGTACTTCACGTTGTACTTCAGTGTTACAGAGTAAATTTCATGAACCAACTTCTAGTTTCAAGTTTTCTGCTGTAGCTTCCTCATTCTCTAAAGAGAAAAGGTTTTCACCCTTCATAGAGTTAGGGCCTTGCTCTGGAGTAAGCTTGGTTTAAGGAAATGGTGTGACTGGTTTGGGTTTTCATCCATACTACTAAAATTTTCTCTACTCCAGCAGTAAGATAGTTTTGCTTTCCTTTTCATTCATGTGTTCACTGGAGCAGTTCCTCAAGTACTTTTGTTTTGCATATACAACATGACTGTCAGGCCTATCTGAGCTTTTCATGTTTTCCTCGCTAAGCTTAATGATTTCTAGCTGTTGACTTCATGAGAGATGTATGACCCTTCCTTTCACTTGAAGACTTAGAGGCAGTCATAGGGTTATGTATTGGCCTGATTTCAGTATTGTTGTGTCTCAGGGAATAGTGAGGCCCAAGGAAAAGCAGAAAGATGTGGAAATAGCCAGTCAGTGGAACAGTCAAAACACACAGCATTTATCAATTAAATTCACAATCTTTTATTGTATAGTTTTAGTGCCTCAAAACAACTACAATAGTAATATCAAAGAGCATAGATCAGTATTAACAGATATAATGAAAAAGTTTAAACTGTTGTAAGAGTTAACAAATGTGGTACAGAGATATGAAGTGAGTACATGCTGTTGGAAAAATGTGTCAACAGACTTGCTCGATAGAGGACTACTGCAGACCTTTGATTTGTAAAAACATATAATATCTGGGAAGCTCAATATATTATAGCACAATAAAATGAGCTATGGCTGGCTAAAGCAACAGTAAGACAATGTATTGATATAGTAATAAGCATGTAGATCCATAGAATGAAAATACCGCCACAAACACATGGTCAATTGATTTTATACAAAGGTGTCAACATAATTTCATGGAAAAAAAGAATACCCTTCTCAACAAACAGTACTAAAACTGCTATATTAGTCCATTTTCCCTTACTGTAAGAAAATAACTGAGGCTCAGTATTTTATAGAGGTTTCTTGAGCTCACACTTTGAAAGCTGAAATTTCAAAACAGCATAATGCTGACTCTGATGAGGGCTCCATTAGCTGTATCACACCAGACAGAGTGCATTTGAGAAAGGAGACAGAAACAGAGACAAATATCGAACGGCAAGACAGGAAACCAAGCTTTATTTTTTCATGACAGCCTTCTCCTGAGAACTAACCAGAGTTCCATGAGAGTGATATAAGCTCTTTCTGCAAGCAGTGGCTTCTCAGTAGGCTCCACCTCATAAAGATTCTACTATTTAACATTCCCACACTGACAGTGAAGATTCCAGTACATGAGGCTTTGGGGGACAAACTGAAACTAGACCTACATCATATCAGAGTCATATTCATGGGTAAATACAGCAACAACAACAAAGAAAACAAAGTTAGATCCTTATGTTGATCACACCCAGAGATTAAATTTAAATGGATCTTAGATTTAACTATAAGAAATAAAAGTTCCAAATAAATTGCTAGAAAATATATACATTTTTAAGGAAAGATTTCTTAGATGTGAAATCAAAAGCATAATCCATAAAGGAAAGAAATGGACCATTTGGCACTAAAATGTAAAACTTGCTTTTCAAAAGTCATCATTAACAAAATGAAAATACAGACTACAGACTGGGAGAAGATTCTTGCAAACCACATATTTGACAAAGGACTTGGATCCAGAATATGTAGACCTTAAAATATCAGTAATAGGACAAGGAAACAAATTTTTAGAAGAGGCAAAGAATATATACAACTGTTCAATGAACACATTAAAGATGCCCAGTCCTATTTAGTCTTTAGGAAGATGAGAAATTAAACCACAATGAGGTGGCAATATACCTACTGAAATCCTAAGGGTTGACCATACCAGGTATTATTGAGTTTATAAAGAAACTGGATCCCTGTTACATTTCCAGTGGAAAACAATTTGATGTGTTTATTTACAAAGGTAAACATAGAAACAGCATGTGGTCTAACACTACCACTGGGATTTGTGGAAAACAAAAATGTGTACACACAGACTCATATCTGAATGTTTGTGGCATCATTATCATAAGTCAAAAACTGGAAATATATGTATATGTTCATAACCTGGTAAATCCTTGAACAAGCTGTGATATATACCCATAAATTAAATATTAATCAATAATAATTGGGAACAAACTACTGATCCATAAAGCAACGTGAGTAAGTTGGAAAACATGCGTGGAGGTTTTTAAAAGACATTGCAGTAAAAGATACATTACGATTACCCCCCTCAGGTACCCATTCACTTCAAAACACATTTATTTCATTGTTCTTGCCCCTTTCTGAAGTAGCTCTGGAATTGGTCTTTCATAACTACCTTTGGTTGCACTGTAGTGGCTACCCGAATGTCCTAAATCAGTTTGAAGCTTTACTTTTCATGGTTATTTTGACTTTGGTGAAGGAAGAACTAGAAATTGTACAGTGCCAGATCTGGTGGATGAAGTGGATGAGGATACACTGTGATATTTTATTCAACAGAAATTGTCATAAACATTATGAATCAGTTGGGAACATTGAGCAGCCACAAAAAAGACCCAGAAGAAGGCTTCCAGAACTGCTTCAGGATGTGCCAAGAACAATGAGATGTGTGTTCATAGCTTAATGACAGTGTGTCTTTTACTGTAAAAATGTTATTTCTATTTAAATAGTCATCATGTTTTCTATCATACTTTGTATACTAAGTGAAAGAAGCCTGACACAACAGAGTACGTATTGTATTAATTGGTTTATCTGAAACTTTAAAACTAGAGAGAGAAAGTAGATTTGTAGTTGTTGGAGCTAGGTTCAAGGACATGAAAACAGATTGACTGCAGGTGGGCATAATGGAGCTTGTTAGAAGTAATGGATTTGTTTTACAAACTATAGACTTACATTGGGTGAATTTTATGGTATGTTAATTATACATCAGTAAAGCTACCTTAAGAAGCCATATGTTATTTTATAAAATCTATGTTAATTTGTGAACATGAAACAATATTAATGATGGCTACCTAGGTTTTGGGATTATAGGTACTTTTTATTTTTTTTGATTTTTCACATTTTTTTGGTAATGAATTATATATTTGCTCTTTTGGTTACAAATGTTAAATAAGCAAAATTGCCTTTTAGAGTGTAGGGAAGAACATTTTTTAGCTTTAAATATTAAAAAAGTAGGAAATCCAAAATTTTTTCATTAATTTTTAAAATGTAAGGTTAAATAAACAATATTAGGGCTACTTACTATTTAGAGGTCAAATTCTACTGATTTGATATGATTTGATTTTTTTTCCTCTCTAGAATATGTCTGGCTCCTATCAAGAAGCTAAAACTTTATTGAAATCCTACTTACAGCAACATGGCTATGGCTCCTGGATTGTGAAATCTCCCGATATAGAGCAATTTAATATGTGAATTAGACAATTCCTTGTCATATTAAAAATCTTTTATTTTTTGTGTGTTTTGACTGGTAAAAATGTTTTTAAAATATTGGAAGTTTTCAACTTTCAAAATCAGAGTCTTGTACCAGCATTGTCTTGAGTATTGCTAAAAATTAGTACATCTTCATGCCAACTTACATTGAAACATTAGGGATTTTTAAACATTTTTTCATTTGTTTTTGAAAAAGAATTACCTGATTCAATGTGTACACATTTTTTTAAATTTTTACACAGACATAGAATCATTACTCTTTTGCAGTTTAAAAGAGAATTCATTTTGTCAAGATTTTGCTTTGAAATCTTGTAATACACATGGCTGTAATAGCCAACATTGTTTCTGATATCATTTAAATTTTCTTTTAATTAAACATAGAAACCAGGAATAAAAATAATTTGTATTCATTTATTCAACAGGCATTTAAATGCTTAGTTTGTTCCACTCACTATGCTAGATAATAGTAATACAGTAGGTGAAAGATTCTCAAATCAAGTTCATGATTGCAAACTGTACATACAAACACAGAAAAATGTTAAAACCATATTAGGTAAGTCATTTGGTATAATTAATAGAAGAAATTCATATATGTTTTAAATAAGATTGCCCACTGTCATCAGTCCTACATGATCTACTTGTACTAAATGCTGCTTAGTTCTTCATAATTTAGATTAATGAGGATTTCTAATTTATAGGTAAATAAAACTTTAACTTCATATTGATATTTGTTTATCCAGCAGTTACCTAAAAAGGAAAGTTTACTCTTCAGTTAAGATATATATCATTAATTAAATTATGAGTTTACCCCATACTTTAGCTACTTTAGCTTCTTTACCATATTCCTTGCCATTCTATCAGAGATATATTGAACCTTACTGGTTTCCAGGGTTTGCCCTCTTAGCGTGCATCTGTACCAAATTTATGAGTTTTATGCTATCCAATGTAAACTATTATAATCTGATAAAATTGGTGTAGCTTGCTTTGCTGTCTGTTCTAAAAGTATACAGTAGTAGAGTTTAGTTAATGAATGGCAAAGTTTTTCTGGAAAGACATACTTATGTCTTTTAGTGGTCTAGACTCTATATAGTACTTAAAATATTAGGATGAACCATGTGAAGTGGCCACATTTTGTAAATTTAAAAGGATAAAATATATGCAGTATCATGAGCATCAAGAAAAATATATTAATAAATTTCATTTGTCTCTAGTATGTTTATTGCTTATTTATCCAACTAGTATTTTCTTGTTAAATATTTTTTAATCTTTTTACTAGCCAATTTCCTTTTGTGGCAGATATCCAGTTTTTATTATTGTTTTACTATTCCTGAATAGTAAATTTGCCTTTTAAAATACAAGATATTTTCTAAGGTCTTAAGTTAGGCACTACCATGGAAATTAGTAAAATGCAATTTCTTAACAAACATAATGGGTTTTTTAAAGAAATTTGTAATTTTGAGGAGAATATAAAACAAATATTCTCAATTGTTTTACAGACAGAATCTGGTAAATAGCACTCACTCATATATTCACAGAAGGTGCTTATCTATATGCACTCAGTTGTATCTGATGTTTTGGTTTAAAGAGCAGAAAGCTTCTTGGCAGAAGTACCAACAAAATAAAGGATAAAGGAGATGGCACCTACTAGAAAGAAGGCAGTCATTTAGTGGCAGGATCAAGAGTTGGACACGAAATGACATTGACTGTAACTTGTAAATTATTTAAAAACTATCATCTCAGGTCTTTATCTTTGAAGGATGAAGTTTATATTAGTGATTTTCATTCTTTCTTCAGAAGAGGGGCTTGTCTTAGTTACTTTCTCATTGCTGGGACAAAATACCCAACACCCACAATTTAAAGGAGGAAAGGTTTATTGTGCATCACAGTATGTAGAGGTTTCAGTCTATAGTCAACTGGCTCTAAGGTAGAGCAGCTTGGCACATGGACATGGCTGAGGAGAAACAGTCCACAGCAGAGCAGGCAGGAAGCAGTGAAGCAAGCCTCCCCTTCCCTTTTATCTCATCCAGGCTATAAGCCTTTTGGGGGGATGCCACCCACACCAAGGGTGAACCTTTCCATTATCCACACCCAGAACTGTGCTAAAACAATCAGTGGGCTAATTTAGTATGAATTTAAACATACTGGTATTTCTGTTCATTACAAATAGTATTCATATTGATAATTAAATTGTCCTTTTAGTTGGTAGGACCTTTTTAAAAACATCTTTCAATATTTTTCTCATAGTTACTGTTTCTGATATTTTAAATGGTATTTTGTGTATTTCTCTGTTGCTGATATATAGATGTAATTAATTTTTATATTCATCTGATAGTGGTATTACTAAATCAATTCTATAGTTTATTGTAGAGGCTTTCAGATGTTTTTCTTTTCTTTTTTTTTTGGTACCTGGGATCGAACTTACGTCCTTGCACTTGCGCAACAGGTGACGAAACCACTGAGCCAAATCTCTGGCCCAATTTTTTTATTTTTAGGTACTGGGGATCGAACTCGGGACCTTGTGCTTGCAAGGCAAGCACCAGAACCACTGAGCTAAATCCCCAGCTCCTTCAGATGTTTTCCAAAGTGCAATCCTGTGTGAATGATAGATTTAGTTCTTCTGTCCCAATATTTACATTGTAATTTATCTTCCTTTGTGGTACTGTCCGTGACATGTGAATAGAAGTAGTGAGTGGTCTCCTGATCTTATATGGAAACTTTATGTGTTAATTTCTGTCTTATGAACATGATTCAAATAATTTTAGATATATTATTTTTGTTACAGTAGAATTTTTCTGCCTCATGATGTGCAAGTGTTTCTCCAAAGACCCCTAGTTCCTTATAATAGAAAGTTGTGTTTTAGAAACCAGTTTTGAGGCTAAGTATATGTAGATAGTAGATTGGTAATTTTCCTCCTAAAGATTTTTTTCCCAGAGCACAAATTTTAGATACATACATTTAAGATATTTGTTTATATTTAAGTTCATATTTCAGATTCATGTATACAAGCCAAGTGTGGTTGCACACACCTGTGGTCCCAGGATTCTGGGGAGTTGAGGCAGGGAGATCACAAATATGAATCTGAGCAACTTAGTGACTTAGAGCAAGACCACCTCTCAAGGGGTTGGGATGTAGCTCAGTGTGAAGGCATTAGATTCAGTCCTCACTATCAGAACCCCTCACCCCCTAAAAGAAGAAACCAGTTCAAGTTAATAATGTTTTTCATTAAACTTCTTCACTCTTTTCTCCCATACCAAAATTTCAGTTCCTATTCATATAAACAAAATACTTAATTTTTCCATCACACACATACACAGACATTTCAGAATAACAGTACTATTAGTACCATCAGTAATATGATCATTGAAAAAATGTGAAATTATTTTTGTTTTCAGAATATATGCAGGCTCATATGTAAGATCTAATGTAGTTTACAATAACTTCTGTGTAATTATGACTCCAACTGAGGACAGTTAAGATTTTATTGAATTTGACTTTTAGTACTTTAAAATTGAAGTTCTGAAGTTATATGAAAATATGAACATGCTTAGCATCCACAAGGTCCTGGGTTCAATCCCCTGTACCAAAAACTAACAAATCTGGGAGTCATCTCAGTAAGGTGGAAGGCTAGAGTGCTTGGCATGCTTTCCTCCACAACAAAGGACCAAAACAAAGAAAAAACAATAGCTATTTCACTGAAACAAGCAAGGCAGAGTCCCAGAATATAATGGGGGATGTGGTAGAGATGTTGCAAAGCAAAGAGATACATGATGGCATTATGAGGAAGAGAACTAAATGTATCACTTAACTATCATCTGGAGATTAAGCCTAAATCAAGAGGACTTCACATAGGAAAAGCATAAGCAGACTTTCAACAGTCTACACTGAACAGCAACATCTAAGCTTTCCATTAAATTGAGTAACTCCCAAACTTCAGTTTCCTATGGCTTTCATTGTAAATGACACCAGCATATTCTCTAGGAAAAATTTAAGACATTTAAACCTGAATATCTGCTTTCTTTGACATGAACAGCTGAAAACACTTGGAAAAGTATTTTCATACAACTCCTTTACTTCTTGTCACTTTCGAAAATAATGCATAAATCTAAGAGGGCTTTTAACATGATCTTTCAGTCTTAATATAGTTCCCTAGTTCATCTTACTCCCATTTTCTGAGGTATTTTGTACTTTGTCCTCTGTCCTTGCACCTATAAATGACCTCCACTCTATCATTCTCAGTGGATGACTCTTCTTGCTATTTCTTTAAGAAGAATAGTCTTATAGAAAAGGAGATCATATACTGTAGTAAATCTGCATGTTTCCATAAATCTTATTTTCTGTTTGGTCCCTCTTGAAAATGAAATCCTCTTTTCATGGCCAGTCTTTTCCTTCCTTCTTGTGACTATCTTCTTTCACCAACTTCTCTCCTGCAATTATGTTCCTTGTGCCTTCATTATAAATTTCTCCTTCCCTACTGAATATTCACATTCGGCTTTAACTCTAATATCCATCATTAAAATCAATCTATTGACCACAAATATCCACATTATTATTGCTCCATTGTCTTCCTTTGTTTCAAAAGATTATATAGAGAATATATATA